GCATTCTGATATTGGAGTGTAAAGGGTTAAAGACATCATGTAATCAGTTATATATATGTAGAGTACTGCTTGAATATATGATTGCATTAAGGCCCTTGAATATTACTAAGAAATAGTCGCATGATTTCCTTCGGAAATAGAGGTATTTTTAAAATAACAAACTAGAGGGTTATGTAGTAACTGTAACTATTGCTAAAATGAAAGGTTTAGAATCCAAGCTTTTGCCGTTCAAAAGAATCATAGGGATGAGAAAAACTGTTCCGCGTAGAGCGGCCAATATACATTTAACTAAAGTTACACAGCGTCGAACTGTTAAAATTCGTGTGGAATACACATCTCCTTGAGCTTTGTCAGTGACAGACACGACGAAAAAAGGCCCTTATACCAACTTGTGATCTCTATTCATTCGATGTGTGTGCAAGGCTTGAGTCATATTGAGTCGAACACGCTAACCTTGTTTGTGGCAGCGGCATACTTGACCTTGACAGATTCGATGTCACTTACGCCTCTCTGTATACTTTTGTTTATTGTATGTGCTTCGGGGAAGAGGAGAAACTGATCTAGAATACTAATCAAGTCATTTCAGACAAGAGAGAAAACGAAAGCTGGGCCAAATTTGTTGTCAAGGTACTAATTTTTTATTACATCCATTTCACTAAGTTTAAAAGAGATCGATACGAAATGAAACTGCTCCGCACCAGCAGCGCGGCTGATGAAAAGGTACTACTCGAAAGGTGTTAATTGCCTTCGTTAACCTGAAGAACACCCGTCTTTCAATTTTTATGGCGTGTTATCAGTCGAGCGGAGGTAATTATAAGCACGAGACGATCGCGAAGGGTGATACGCGCGCAAGGGGTGACACACGCGCAAGGGGTGACACACGCGCGAAGGATGAGACACGCTTGAGGGTGGAGGGTTTGTCTTCTTCAGCTGCTAATCCCTCACTTTGTAACCCTCCTTCCTCGTAATGGACCCACGAGGCTAGTCTTTGCCGCATACGGTATGTGGAGATGGAGATTCAATTAGATGGCGGTTCTTGACCACTGTTTTCACGTCGAGTTGGAATTAGGAAAAATGACTTTTGCGCAGGGAAGAAAACCGGAGGACTCGGAGAAAAGACCCCAGAGCAAGGACGAGAACCAACAACAAACTAAACTCACGTGACGACAGGTTCGGGAATCGAACCCGGATTATAAGGGTGGAAGGCGAGAGCTCTCACTTTGTGCCGTCCGTGCTCCCTTTTCGCTAAAGGCTTTCTTATTGATACCGTCGTTGGACTTAAACATAAAATTTTGTTACAATTAGTTGTGATAAAATATCATAGAAACAAGCATTTCCTCTCCTTTTTAAACAAGAATGGTGAACAGGAGTCACCGCTTACCCATTTTATCCCCATTCCCCATCCCCCCTAAAAGTGATCTATTTTTGCATGTCGCCATGACTTCCATTGTTCGTTTGCAATGTTTAATACTTGAGAGAAAAATAAGCAAGAAGATTATGAGATAAAGATTTCAATCTTTTCAGAACGGTCTCTCACCAGGAGCTTATTACCCATAACCCGGAGCCTCCATACCAATCCTACCCTTGAGTCAACCCTGTCCCGTATCTTTTTATTTTTAGAACTGAGATATGAGGGGTTCTTTAATTTTTCGCTAAAACACGCTTACGTTCGCATATCACCCTAACAAAATTGGCGGTCGAAGGCGAAGGCCGACCTTTATTCCTTCTCTGCATGTGACGTAAACAATTGAGGACCACAGCTCTCTGATGATTGGCTATTATGTAAACACCCGCGAAAAATCCCGCGGGAGATGCTTCTACAAATAAAATGTTACGTGACAGGGTTGACTCAGAGGGTAAGAATGGAAGATGGAAGCTCCGTGTAATGGGCTCCCGCTCTCACCTAAATCCGTATTAATATAACTTTGGTCGTCCGGTAAGCGAAGACGAAAAAAAAACACTCTAAAGAGCTATGTGTATGGCACATAATTTTTCATTTTCTTTAGATGATTCATCTTATATCTTTTTTGTTTGCACGACCCGTTCAAAACTGTGAGAGAGAAACTGTTTGAACCCTAAATTAATCCCTGATAAAACAGTAACTTATCAAATGAAGTCCACGGCACACAAAGGATCTTTATTTCTTTTACTATGGCATTATTACAACTATTAGAACCAAACGAGTCAGTTCAAACGAAAAAGCCCAATAACTAAATCAATCAAGTTAGATCTATGAAGAGTTACAATGAGTTTATCGTAAATTTATTCTGAACTTTTAAAGGCCTTCTGTTTTCTACTGAGAATAGAAAGTAAATGAGTACCCGCGTCGTTTATTATTAGCAGAAGTTTCCTGGATCTAGTCTTCCCACGATGGTGGCGGCAAACCCAACCTGCAATTATATTAAGAACCATTGAGGCAAAAGAGGTGCGAATAGTAAAACTTTAATATGACCGAACTTCCACTTGAGATCTAAGTATTCACAACAGCCAAGAGAAAATA